CTGAACTGAATAGGTGATTTTTGGCTTAAGCATGTCCACGCATGCCAAAAACTCCCTCATTATCAACCTCTTTTGCATAAGATGGAAAAAGCTCCGTGACACCTTGTCTGCTAGCTACCGTAATGCTATATGGACAGTTCATATTAGCAGATAATGTATATAATTAGATGTACCTAAAGTGTGACCCTTTCTCTCTTTTAAATTTTTTGTTGGCGACCGCTTCACAAGCAGCTCCATGTGGGCATTAATCAGTTTGGAAAGTGCGAGCTTGCTAGAGTCGGTAGATGCAGCTTCTTAAAGAGTTCGTTCTCATGAAGGGACATCATCGTTTGTGATGATGAAAATGGCTTTCAAGAATCCAATATGATTTCTTGTTTCACATCATCATGTTATGAACACTGTTCAGACCAGTGATAGGCTTTGCATCGTCTCTGTCTCCTTATTAATGCATGCTTCTCGCATCATATTTTAATCTTTCTTAATGAATTTATTTCTTTGTTTCCATCTGAAGTTAAATGCCTTTTTTGCTCCAAAATAACCTTGGTTGCATGTTCTGCAGGTATCCTCCCCTTAAAGTTCGGTTTCAGCCTTGTGTTTTTAGAAACATCAGAGATGTATTTGTAGCACTGGAAATGCGTTGCATAATATTTTCAGAAACCGGTACTGCCATTTGTTTACACTGGCGGGGACAAGATAAAGCTGCAGGGATTTCTCTCTTTTTTTGGTTAATCTCTGCCTAGACTCAATTGTTATTCCGACAGTCAAAAGGAGATGGTATTTGCTATTCATTTGTCAAGGAGCCAGAAATAATGCATTGCTTGTTAGCCCCATTTGTTTAAAATCGTGGGTTTGATTTAGCTTTTGTAACTGGTAACTGTCATGCCTAGATAGTTTTCAAGGAAACAAGTCTGTTTTTGTACTGGATTGTGTTAACTGTCAATTACCATGTTTTCTTACACACCTCGTTTGGAAGAAAATCGTTCATCTGTTCTTTTTCTTGATAAAAAGAAAATCATTCCTTGCTTCACGTTCATGAAATGTTTTTGCTCATTGCAGCTAATGCATTTGTCCGGTGATGTTGCACGGATTGTTTTTTTTTTAAAGCCATCTGGGCCAGCCTAGATGGCTGAAAATCCCCCCCCCTAAGTTCCCCAAAACCCCCCCCCCCCCCCCGGGTCGTTCCCTGTCTTTTTTTAATTACTTACCAAGCCGGGCTATTCCTGCCCTACACACATCTCTATGCTTCTTTTATTATTATTCCTAGAACTGTGCAACACAACTCTTTTTATGCGTATATAAAAAGTTACCACCATCTTAACCATGAGGGAAGTTCATGAACCGGGTATAAATCAGGCAGAGCTATTTTTCACATCATCATTAAACATTCAACGATTCTTAAACTTTTATCAACCACCCGTCAATTTTTATATTCACCATCAATCACCTCATGATTTTTAAAATTACAAACAAGCACCCAACAAAATCATAAATAGCAACACACAACATACAAATATACTCCCAATAGTTTCATTTACTTTCTAGGATATTATTTTTTTATTTTTTATTTTATTAATTTAAGTATCAATATCCCATATGCCTATATGGGATTTTTTTATAAAAAAACTCATGGAAGAACCAAAAATTACAATACTATAAAACTTATATCCAGTATAAAATTTTTTATAACTTAATTAATGATGCCATCTTCAGGAATCTTAAAAAAAAAGGACTTAGTTGATTTTATTTTCCCTTACTAAAAGTTTTTTTGTGGCTGAAAAAATTTTAAATAAGGAAGAATAATCGATCTTTCCATTGCAAAAACCTCTCCAAATCTCTATCAATTTTTTATTCAAGTACAAGTGTTAAATACTATTGTTCTAGTCATGTAAGGAGAGTTCCACGCTCTTTCATTCCATCAACATGAAATACATCATATGGCTTCATTACATGCATCAATTGCATAGAGTCAACTCCATATTGAAGAAGGAACAATATAAAACAACATGCAAATTAGACATGGTAATCTAACTCTACAAATGAGTCATTGCGGTTATGAAATGCACTCCTCAATATACCCTAGTCACAAGTTTGGTTATAGCCATCAATCTTCTTTTGAATTTCGCTCGCATGTTCCTTATTTCAAAAAAAAAATAGATGCAAGATGAGATCATTAACTAAATAAGTTAATAAAAATCACCACCATCAAGTGGAAAACTCTTTATTATGTCATCGAGTGTTACTCATCTCTCAAAATATCGTGTTTCCATGAAGCCAATCTAGATAACTTGATGATCTTATAGATTTTAGAAAGCTCATATAAAATATCAAAAACATCCTAAATCTTGTAACGTAAAAAGGTGATGTTATATGCAAAACTTTTCCAATGACATTTCATAGATCTTCTCAAATGTGGTATCACAACCTTGAGTCTAACTTCATCCTTGACCTTTACAATCTTTCTATTAAGCTCATCTATTATTTCAGAACTAGTATTTCAACTAAAAAATAAAATTAAGCTCTTAATCATTGTTAAAGGAGAAATGAAAGCATTAAAGCATATCTTAAGATATTTTATGTGAAAACACTAAACGTGGAAGACATATTTGAACCCATTATTATTAAAGTCCTAATCAATGGAGTTCATAACTAATATTTATAAAAACACTTATATACTCTCCTTAACATGACTTTCCTTAACTTAAAACGTGCAATGAAGAGCTATATTCGAGTAGGAAAAAAAATGTGACCAGACATGGATACCTTCATTTCTAGAAAAAAGAAACTCTACAACATCATTTATTTATTACTAAGACATTCAAAAGAAGCATTAAGATACCCTTTTATAGTCACCTGACATCCCCTAGGCTTTTGACCCAACTTTGCATCATTATATGTGTTAAGGTGTTTGTTTCCATTTAGAGAAAAAATTTTATATGTTACCCACCTCCAATAAAGAGTGGCATAAACATAAAAAACCTTAAAAAGTTTTGTCACTTGCACCATGACTTTAACTATGACAATAAGGAATGTTATGTTCTAAAAAAAAAGGTTGAAAGATTAATCTTCAAGGGATAATTTTAATAATTTATGAAAAGGAATTGCAACATGAACAAACAAGGAAAAATCCACATGGTACATTACTCGAGAATAGATAATTTTTAGAAATTATATGTCTAATATATTTTGATTTTTTGAATAAAAGTAGTATTATTTCTCCATGTCTTCAATGTCTATAATAAAAATCACCACAACTAGATTTTCATCAAGATCTTCAGGTCTCTAAACAAATTTTTTATGTCTTTAAACTTGTTTTAGATGTCTCAAACAAAAACCTCTATGACAAGATTTCCATTAAAATCTTCACATTCCTATATCACGTCTCATTGCACAATGTTTTAACATAATATTAAAGTATTATTTATTTTCTAAATAATAATATTATTTGCTATAAGTGGAGGAAAAAAAAGTTATCAAACCCTTATCTGCAAGTAAACTCTCTTTTAGAAATATTAAAAATTATAAAGAATTATCATGCAAACATGTTAATAAAAGCTATAAAAGTTAATATTTATATAATAAGTATTTTCTTTACTTTTATTTTATGTTGGTTAAGTCTTTCGAATATGATTATTAAAAAAAAAAACATAGAGAAAATGATTGTGAGAACACCTAGTTATCCAGCCAAACAATCTAATACATGACAATTAGTCATTCAACAATTCTTAAAACTTTTGTTAAGCATTCATTAATTCCTAGAACTACAAATCATTCAATAAAGTCAAAAATGTAAAAAAAACAACATACAAATATACACTCTTTGTAGTTTTATTTATTTTGTAATATATTATTTTGCTTCCTCCTTTATTTTACTAGTTTGAGCATTGAAGTGTCCATATATCTTTAAGATACTTGTTTTGCAAGAAAACTCATATACTAACCCAAATTCAGTATGAAGCTTTTCATGACTGCATCATGTAGTAAATGACATCTATAGTTGGATTTAACTTGATCATAATTGTATAGACCATCAGAAGTCACTAAGATTATAACATGTGAGCAAAACTTGGAGCTCATATTATTCGAACACATCAAACACTTGTTGGCTGGAAACTTAAGTAAATCCAGTCCAGGGGAAACCACGGGACAGCATTAACTAGGTCAAAAGGTGACAAATCCTTGGTGCAGCGCATCTGAACAATCTAAGATGGTGTCTTGTTCAGATGAAATATTAGCTAACCCCGCATTAGCATAAAGCACCCATTCGTGTAAAAACTAGCTGGAACCCATTGTAAATTGATGATAGATTCACTCATGGTGTGTAACTCGTTAAGAGGCAGATTCGGTTCAATTTCTTATTGCAACGCAATAATTCTTATCTTCAGATCTTTCAACGTGCCTCTTTGGTGATGGCCAGTGGTAAGGTCAGGTGAGACTGTTGCTCCAGCGAGACTTCTACAGGGGTAAGTTGCAGTATGAACCACAGTATTAACCAAGGCAAGAAGACTAGCTGCTCCATAACAACTCGTTAAGAACCGGCTAGTTAGGTGTACCGCCACATCCAAAATTATGTCCAAATCAAACCCCTACATAACACCCACAGAACCGATTCCGATTGAAACTAACACTACCGGTACAAAATTGTGAAAATCCAAGTACTCACGATACGGAAAAGATAATAGACCAGACAACCAAAGATCTAACCTATACGGAGCTGGATGTGAAAACATGTTAGCCAACCCATGCGCGGTGCATTTAATAGTACAAACTTGGAGAATGCTTAAGGTATGGCACTTGATATCATATTCTTAATCAAGATTCTAAGAATTTATCTTCCACCAAATGGGATCGACGGGGCAAGAAAAAGCAAGCACATCCAAAATTCCTGCATGATAAATCAGAAAAATATCTGGAACCACAAAAGAAAAATAATCGTTCGACTGTGAAGCACACTCACTTAAAGCACACCGCCGTTGGACGGGCACCCAAAAAAATGGCGAGAATAATTCCAAAAGTAAACATTATATTATTTCCACAACGGTTAATCAACACCATTAACTGGGACTTGCACGCTGCAAGATGGAGTTTCCAAAGCAGGGCAGATAGTAGTTGTTCGCAGCCAACATAGACAACTTATACACAGATTCATTCTGTAGCAGCCAGCAAGCAATATTTACATGTAACTTCAGTTTTCTGCAAATGCATTGCAAGTTCCGACGCCAATGCCCATTGCCAATCCAATAATTTTCTATTTCTTACTGGCCTACTTTATACAACAATTAAACTGTACACAATGCTATCAGGTTGATAACAGTCTATATACATGGTGTTATATAACCAGTCTCTCGCTATTCTGGCCGAAAGCTTGCCAGATTAGGGAGTTCAGTTGACTGAAGCTTCTTGATTTCAGATGCAGTTACCTTGCAGGATTCCAAAGATAGTGCACGTAAATTCTTCAAAGGCTTCAAATAGCGTAATCCTTCGTTGGTTATGAGAGAATTTGAAACATTCAATGATACCAATTCTGTCAACCCTGTGTTCACAAAGAAGAACAAGTGTCAGATGAAAAAGAAATTTTAGTCAAATCCAATTTCTCAATTGAGTGCAAATAACAAGAAACATGGCACAAGTTCATCTCGAATACTTTCATCACACTACCAAAACAAAGAAACATGACAACCAAACTCTACAAGCACACGTATCCTTGTGCATCATCTATAATGACATTTTATTTGCCAGGTGCTATGCAGTAAAGAATAAACTTATGAGCAACAAAAAGCAGATGATACCAGAAATCAACTCCAAGGTCTTGTCTGTCAGATTGGTATTCTGTGACAGGTTCAGAACTGTTAGGTGTACAAGATCTTTGATATTCTTCACCCCAGCATCAGTTAGTCCTCCTCCACAGATTTCAAGTGATTTGAGATTTTTGAAGTCTGCTTGGCATAAAAATATTAGTAGGAACATTTGGCAGAATCAGAGCAGGAAAATACTCCTGGTAAAGTACGGAATTTTATGCCAAAAAAATGATTGTGGACAGTCTGGAGTCACATTACTTATATCCACAAATTTCAATAGCACAAAGGGAAGCAACTTGGGATTGAGACAACTTATGCAATGATAAAGTATATCCATACGTTTCAAACAGTTTGTTCCAGAATCTGTAATGCGAGCGCCAAAAAGATCCAGACGTGTCAGTCCAGTCAGACCTGCATCAACAAAAGCATTAGCGAGGGCAAAACATGATTAAACAGAGAAAAGGAAGATTATCCTTGTATGATTTTGAAGACTGGTCTTCTGGATTCGAAGTTTTCTCTCTCTCTGGTTTCTATATTAGGGTTTTTTTCTTGTTGCCAGAAGTATTTTGCATCAGTTTACTATTTGGAAACTTATGTTTCAAATACCAACGTAACCTCAAAAAAAAAAAAAATCTTCATTTCGAATTCCTAGTTTCTCATCCGAGTTTAAGCTTCCAACAGATTTATCCCAATAACACTGGGAAAGAGGTTATAAATGCAATTAAGTTTGCTTATCCATTGTTTTAGTGGTTCCGGCATGAAAAATAAACCTCCACCAAATGCTGAATCCACAAATGCAATAACTCAAAGACAAACAGGAGCCACATTATTTCAACAAAACATGACTCAGCACAAGAATACCATAAGGTTTCTAATAGATAACCCAATACTTGCATTCATATTCATAGGTAAATCAGATGTGGGTTAATGCTTACTTGTAAGTGCTGTAAGTCCAGCATCTGTAATTTGGCGAGCATCCAAGTTGAGTGATCTAAGAGATGTCAGTCCAGATAACTTCCTTAAACCACTGTCTGTTACTAAGGTGAATGACAGATTCAAGTTCTCCAGAAGAGTTATTCCTAAAACAATGGGACAAAATTGTAAGACAGCCCTTCCATTTGATAAATACACAGATGCATGGGGTTAAAAGCTGTATTCACATCAGGAAGAACACAAATAACGGTTAATGTAACAAACCCCCATCAATTTCATCCCCAAAACCAAATCCTAACATGATAATTAAATAAGCCTACTAAAGAGAGGATCACCAAACAAGCAAATTTTATGCTTAAAGTGCATTTGCTTTTCTAGTGTTTCAGCTAGCCAACATTTTTCTAAACATTTTTATGTGAAAAAAACTACAAATGAATTTAGGGTCCCATTTTCAATGTCTCAACAGAATTAACAAAGCACGAGTACCAGCAAGTGAATCTTTGGAATCCAACTGAAATGAGAAAAGACTAAAAAGAAAGAATAAAAAAGGAGAAACAAAGACAGTCTGTAGAAGTATTCCAGTGCTCTTGAATATGGACCTGCACTCAGCTTCATACACTACCAACCATGCCAATAAATGACACTTTCAAATATAGCCATGTTGTATGATATGTTCCAAGCACGGAATCTTCAAGCAAGGCAAGCTTAAGGTTTTTTTTGTCAAATAAGTGGACATCTAAATTATAAAGCAGTGTAAACATGCATATGCATTACAAGAGCATGCTTTCAACTCCCCATTTCATCTATATTTTCAGTTCAAGAACTAATCAAAACCTAGATTCTGTTCTCTTTGAAAGCACTGTAAACCATAATCATCTAGTCATTAAAATATCTTGAAAGTTAGAGAAACAAATAACATGCAAGAGAGAATTAATCAAGGTGAGATGCAAGCACCAAAAGAGAATTAAGAAAAGGAAGAAATAGTTCTGGAGAGAGAAAAAAGGTGGAAATGAAGTTCCAGAATATTCTGCAGCTAAAACCAGAATGGGACGAAGTATCATGAGCCACACAAGACAAATGCTAGATAGTAAGTGGATAGAATCCTAACCAGAAAGATGCCGCAGCCCACTACTTCCAACTGAAGTATCAGACAACTCCAAACTTTTCAGTGGAAGGCCTGAAGAGAGAACCCAGCAGATATCAGAAGCATGCTTTAACACAAGTACAGCACAGACCTGTTTGCCCCTCAATCAAAAATTATTAGAGCACCATTGTCGCAACATATTTTTTTCCCAGACAGGCAACAAGTGCACAAATTAAAGACCCAATAAAAACACAGAACCAGTTGCATGTAGTTGCCATTGCTACACAACAATGAACAATGAACAATGAATGGTTCCTTTGGAACATCAGCAATAAGCTGAGTCATTGCTTTAGAATGTAGCCAGCATATTCTATATTTTCCAAAATACAACTAGTACAAGCTCTCAGTTATCAAGATGCATGGTTATAAACACCCTTAGAGCAGATGGAGATTCTTGAATGGGAAAAGCAGCACCGACAGCTATTAGACACCAAGAACAAAGCTAGGACCATCTGAAATAACATAAAACAACATGGTTTATGTAACCCTGGGTTCTTTTTCCTCTCTCACTACAAAAAGATATACAAGGATTTCAAAATTTGTGAGGTCTAACAAGGATACTATCTCTGCTCCTCATGAATGAGTTGCCAGGGATCTGTGCACATCTTCAGCAAAGTATCTTGAACTACAAATCCTCATCTGATGTAAGCCCTGATCCTAAGCTAATTAGGGCAGCCTATAAAAATCTTTCTTTTTATCCCCTGTTCAAATGGAGATGAATTACCTGGTAGCCAGGTATACTCATGGATTTGAACCACTGCTAGCAAGGAATTTCATTCCACGAACTGTCAGTTACAAGAGCTAGGAACTCCCTAACTTTTGCTAATCAGGAAACAGTTTTAATTTTCCCATTCACAGAATAGAGTTCTAGAAACAGAATGATATCTGATCTCACAGATTCAATTACAATGAGTGCCCCCCCTCTCCCCCAGAAGGGGGAGAAGGGGGGGGGGGTTAATCAAAGTAACAGTTGATTTTATTACATATCCAATTTAAAACTCCCTAGTTTTTTCAGTCTATAAATCCAATGTGCTGTAGAAAGTTAATAAATCTACTCTGCACAATCTAGGTCACAAACTTCCTGTAATGCACAGACAAGCGGTCCAGAATTGAAACTGATCATAGAACGACATGAAAACCAAACAAAGAACTTAGCATTCATAATAAGAAAACGCTTGAGAATGCCAAATCCAGGAAAGCTGGTTAAAACAGTTCCTCTTTGATCTCATCACGAGTCTCTTTTGCCCTGGGTAGCAAGAGTCACTGTGGAAAGGTAGCACACCACACTAACATTATTAAGCAGCCAAAATATTCAAGATAGAACAACATACCTGCCAAATTAGCAATGCCTTCATCACCAATCCTACAAGAATCCAAGTTCAAGCTCTCCAAATTTTTCAAGCCTTGATAGAAGTGAAATCAGAGAAGATGATAAGTGCAAGAACCATCATTTTATGGGAGAAAGAGCAAGAACATAGAAAAAATAGGTGACTGAAACATAATTGGTCGGTTGTATGACCATGAATAAATGAAACCATATAAATCTCAGAGACAACATCAAAGAAATGTCCAACTATAAAGAGATTCTCTGTATCTTCTGTGAGGGGAGAGGGAGGGAGGGAGGGAGGCATTACAAACCTTTTAGATGCACCAAACATGCATCCGTTACATCGTTGAATGCCAAGCTCAACACCTTCAAGTTTTTCAATCCTGTACATGTTTAATGCCATAAAATCAAGATTAAATAAATATGCTCCACTAAACTTATGAAGGACATAGTAAGGTCACAAGTAAACTTAATTCACTCACCAGAGAACTTATCGCATCCATCATCAGATAGATGACATCTGTTTAAATTCAAGTAGGCAAGGGTTGCAAGAGCTGCAAAGACAAGTTCAGAGAAACACCTACTTGATTTCCCATTAGTAAGCAGCAATATATTAAGTATAGGTTGAAAACCCAATAACTAAACAATGAGTAAACCTGAAATGTACTCTAAACATGCAGTGGTAATATTGCACCCCTCCAAGTTCAACATAATAAGCTTCTGCAATCCTGCCAATAACAAACAAATGTTGTTACATATCTACCCTAAAGATTGGAAACAGTGTGCAATAACCATTAGCTAAAAAGGCACACATTTGCCAGATTAGTGGGATCATTGTAGACCATTTCAAATATTTGGGAGCCAATGCAATTTAATTTAGTAATAACAGATACTAGCTGAAGAAATAGTCCATACAATAAAATTTCATATATGGAAAGGCCTTTAGGTGATCACCCTTTGTTAACAGCCATCCAATCTTAAAAGAGAAGCAACTATATAATCATAAAATTTGGGGCATGGGGGTGAGATGGGGGAGATAGGAGAAAATTCACTGGTATAAGCAGATGTCGAGCCACATTCCCCATTCACATTTCACAGATCACATATATATCATTCCGCATTAAGCAACACCATGTGGTGAATATGGATTGCATCCCTTTGGGATAAATAGTATATCTTTGCTTATGAAAAAGAACAGAAAAGAAACATAGAGGAACCTCTTTCTTTCTTTCTTTTTTATTGAAAACTCAGTGGAACCTGATATCTGGAATTGTTTACATGCGCACCACAGGTGTTCCCACAGTCGGTTATAGAGTTTGCAATATAAGCTGGTATGGTGATATCTCAAGCTCAATCTAGTCTAAGATTGTGTGTAAATATTAATATATTTGAATCTCTTCCAAGGCATATAAACTAAGAGGTCAAAAATAATGAGAGGCTCTGCGATTTCTCTTGACTCTGGAAATGTACCATTAAAAACAGCTATTTGTTAGTGGCTTTCTGTTTTTTCTTGCGCTAAACACTTCTGCAATTTATACTGCCCGTGTCTCTTATGAAAAAATTTTACAATTGAACAAAGCAAATGGACCAGGAGATGCAAAGCAGCCATGTTATTAGATGAAAACTGAGAAGAAGCAAAGTACCTCTTAAATAAGAAACTCCAACATCAGTAACGTTACTATTAGAAATCTGTAACTCCTTCAAGTTAGTAAGACCTGAAACATGAGAAAAATGAGACTTTAGTTGTCGACCAAAATCTGGAAGAGGAAATCACAACAAATTTTGATCATTATCCAGTAAACATTCTTAAGCCTGCATCCTTTCTTTTCTTTTCTTTTCTATCTTACATGTGGTCAATGAGGGCCTACTTTTTTAATACTCTTTAACAATCCCAGGTTTAGTGCTAAAAACTGAAGCTAGGCCATTGGTATTCGTGCCAGCCAAGGATGGCAAACAGTGCATTCACAAGTCATTCAATTCAAGTACCCTCAAATTACAGTCATAGAAACAGGTATTGGGAAAGATAAGCATGTTCACAAAAACAGACATATACAGGTACCCCTACAGAAAAAATTAAACAAGAAAGTAAATAAACAAGTACCTGATATAGCCTTCATGTCCATATCTGTGATGTGTTTACAACATCTGATATTAAGGGACTCAAGCTTTTTTAATCCTGTGAAGAGAAAAGAAAAAAGGCAGCATTGAAGAGTGAGAGCCAGATCAGCAGATTTGCAACTAAATCCCACGTGATAGGATATAGAAGTGCTAGGCATAAAGGCTAACATTGAAACTCTATGAAGTCACAAGTAGGCTGAACTACTCTGTTCACACCTCTAGGAAGCATGCAATTTAAAGCAAAATTGCAACGTTCTCTGAAGAATAAACCAAAGAAACCTGAAGCATTTATCAAACAACGAGACAAACCTTTAAGATGAACCAGACCACCATGAATCCCAGAACACCTCTCCATATCTAAATTTTCCAAGTTGAGTAAGGTAGAAAAGGCACGCATTCCTTCAGCAGTTACAGAGCAGCTCTTTTTCAAACTCAAGGATGTAACATTTGTAAGACCTTAAGAATACCCAGCAAGTGATTGGTGTTGGTTAGTGGAGCGCCAGAATGATTATTAAATAGGTAATTACTTTGGACATGCAAGAGAAAAATTTAAACAAAGTGGTGAATAGTATAGAGAACATCAATTTCAGACATCAAATTGGAAAACATCTGTTCCCGTGCTACAAATGGCACATTAGGCAAGTAACATTCGGATAGTCAATTTTTTTTTTTTTCAGATCATACCCATTGCAGCTCAGAGCTTACTCGCACCATTTGTTTTCTAAATGGGCACATGGCAACATAAAATCTGTTCACTGGAAAACATATGTTCAAGTGCTACAAATGGCACATTAGGTGAGTAACATTTGGATAGTCAATTTTATTTTTTTTTCAGATCATACCCATTGCAGCTCAGAGCTTACTTGCACCATTTGTTTTCTAAATGGGCACATGGCAACATAAAATCTGTTCACTGGAAAACATATGTTCAAGTGCTACAAATGGCACATTAGGTGAGTAACATTCAGATAGTCAATTTTTTTTTTTTCCAGATCATACCCATTGCAGCTCAGAGCTTACTTTAGCCATTTTTTTTTCTAAATGGGCACATGGCAACATAAAATCTATGAGATCTATTATAAATAAATAAACAAACAAAAAGATCTCTTCAAAATGCTCCAAAAATTCCTCCAAGTATGACTTATTTCCGAGCACATATTAAATCTTTCTTGAGAAGTTGACCTTTTCCATTGAATGCTATGCAAAATAAGTACTGTCAACTCATGACCAACCAAAGTAACATGCAACATTGCAAGATAACTTACTCAGCATTTTTTACCAGAGACATGATTTTGTTATCCGCATAATTCAGCATGGTTTCACCATGGATGAATGCATGCAGAATGTCAATTACTATTCAAAATTAAACAAATTAAAAACAACAACTATAAATGACTTGACCTATTAAATTTTCCAAACAAAATAAGCATCTTCCTTTGAACTCCAAATTTCAACTTCATATGGTTAATGCAGACCCTAAACATAAAAAGATCATTCCATTAATCTTTGGTGGTCCAATTGTGCTAAAGAATCAGCTTTATATTTGAATGTACCCACTACTATATTTCATATAACATAGCAGCTTAAATTTCCGCCCAGAATACAGAATCTGCAACACATTGATTTTGCACACACAGACCTGGGTTATGGCAGCATGTATAATTAAGAAGGTTATTTCCACAAAGCACATGGCAGAAAATAAAAGCAGTCATCAACTTAGCAACAAACCATGCCCCATGTAACAATTATTAACGTAGCAATAAGAGTTAAAAAGAATGAAATCAGATTTTGCACCAACATAGCCAAAATAAGGGAGTCAATTGAGATGTACCACTTAAGTGTTTCAGACCATGGTCAGAAATGTTGTTGCAATAATTTAGAGCAATTGCTTGGAGGTTTGAACAGTCCTTGAGGAGACCCAACCCAGCATCTGTGACATCAGAATCAGAAAGGTCAACAGAAAGCAAAGATGAACCTTGTGAAGAGATGACATCCATCCAACTATCCATAACTCCAGGATATTCACCCAAAAGGACATCCTGTTAACAAAAAAAAGGCAAACTAATTAGTTCCATCCTGCATGAAAAACTGAAAATTGACCCATGCTGAACAACATAAAAGTGTTTCTATTTGAAATACATTGAGAAATTACCTGAAGAGCACAGTCTCTAAAAGCTTCAAGAGATGCAGCTGTAAGACAATGCGAGATTACCAATTCATTAAATATTTGCTGACTTATATCCCTTGGCAGCATGGAAAATGATTTATATCTGCTGATGTCCTGTTACAATCGAGAATAAAAGTTTGAGCAAACCATCAAAAAGAACAATCCTACGGCAACACAAGGCCAAGAAATAAAGTAACCTCGCGTATTCTGTAGATGCATAATTCCAGGAGAGATGGGAAACTACATCCTGGCTGAAGATCAGCATTGGGTCGAGCAAATGTGGTCCCCAGCCATTTTGAACTTGAACTTTTACTATAGTTTCCAGAAACCCCTCTACGTACTCTACCCTCAAAAACCTGCTGGTCTCTCTTCCTTGAACAAATTCCACCCATTGACTTGTGATCTCTTTGGTTATCTATTGATGTCATCAAACAAGCAGAAGATCGGTGTTGTTTCCCATTTCAAAGCCAAAGGACAAGAAGCCTAATATATCCTGTATGGTTAAAAAAAATTATCACATTAGAATTTCTGACTAGTATAGCTAGGAAAATAAGAAAGCTATAAAAGTTAACCATCTACCATAATCTAGGATGAAAACACTACTGAAGTTGGTCCGTCATATAGTTCATATACAATACAATGCAAACTCTAATGCACTATTAACATTTCCCCGGTTGAGACAAAGAAACCGTATGGAATAAAAATAACAAAGATAAAATTCCTTGTATCAACTTAAGAAAACACCAGAAGTTCAGTTTTCCCAGTTAGGCGTGCCATGTGCGTACTTCAGAACCTCAAAACACAAATCATCAGCACTTTTAAGAAAACAACTGGAATCAAAGTAAGCCAAAACAACATTATAAATTAAGAAATACGGACCAACTTCCATTTCCAAAATGCAACGAGGGTGATCACAGATAAAATTCTTCATTTTTTTTCTTATACCACAGGCAAGCTTGAAATGAATTGACAGAGAAATCATCCGTTTTAAATAAGCAAGCCTCATCTCTCAATTCAAAAATATCAAACCAATCCACCTTCCCAGAACAACAAAAGGGGGCACATGTAAATATTCATTTCCAACAAAAAGTCACAACTTCAATCACAATCAAATGATAACCCGCTTCACTATATCAAGTTCTAAAGAAAAAGTACAAGGATTTATTCTACAAAATCAAGATTTACACCAACAAAAACCAAAACTTCACATGATCGTGCCCCTTTAATATCAGTTAATGATAATCAAATTTACAGTTCAGGAAACAAAACATCATCAAAGTTAGTAGAAAGAAACAACCTTAGAAAAGCCAAACTTTGATGTGATCAAGTGAAAGTGATCAAATAACGAAACCGATTTGTCTGAACTAAAAAGGGTCTAGCTTTGGAGAGGGAAAGCGAGGGCTTTAGAGAGAGAGAGAGAGAGCACCGAACCTGAAAGCAGAAAAAGTAGGGAGGAGAGAAAAGTAGAGTGAGGGGTGAAGGACCTGGGGCTGGAACCGTTAGATGAAAGACACGTGGGAATTGAGTGGTTGATGAGGTGATAAGTGTTTGGCTTTGATGGGTCCCACTTTGCCTCCTTTCTGCTTTATCCGGCGGGAGAAGAGAAATAGTGGGTATGCAATTATTTTTATTATTAATTTTTTCCTTCTTCTTTTCTGTACTGTACGTACACAAATCGTAGCTCGTAGCCCTACTATACATTTAATGTTTTTTGGAAACCTCAATTTCGTCTACGACCTGTATACTTAATCTAAATTTAGTCCCAAACTAAATTTTATCAATTTCGTCCCACTCTTTTCAGACAATATTCAAATCAGGTTCTTTTGTTGATATTCTAAGAAATGCTTGCAAAAATTGACAGAAAGACCCTTCATTGATGGGGAAGCCTTTAAAGATCTAATTAATAAATCATTATATCTAAGACTCATCAATAATAATAAATACATAAGTTTGGTATTAAATTAATATTTTTTTTTTATCTTCTTGGTTGTATTTGTTTGTTTGTTTAAGATGGTATTTGACATTGCAGTACAATTATATTTTTAAAAATTCTTGAATTTATTTAACTTCAAATTAATTTTTTATATTTTTTTATTATTTTAATATAATAATATCAAAAAATATATTATTTTAATATATTTACAAGTAAAAAATATTTTAAAAATTAACCTACATCATGCTCTTAAATATGCACACAAAGAATGAATCTTTACATCATTAGATGAATCTACATATATAATTTAATTGGGTGTTTCACTCTAGTTTACTTCTCTAAAATTTCGATGGACTGAATGGAAACCCAACTATCAATTTTTTTTTTCATGAATCCACTGGTCAAAAAATCTCCATTCTCGCATATCCAGAAGGTGAATTTCCTTAGAAAATCTTGAAGATCCAATCACTGTAGTTAATGAGTCAACGTAAGCAATTAATAAACATTATCATAACATGAACTGAGCTAGTATTTATTGTAAAATCGAGGGACTATTCTTATCTTTGAATCCGTGACTTTCACTAATCTCTACGGTAATGCTAATAAATGTATCGAGATATTTTCGAAGAAGGCATTCATGGCCCGCTGTTTCGTCCATAGGTTTATTTACGTTATCCACCTGAGACACTCAACTGTGGGGCCGGCTGGCAGGGAGACGAGGACGAGCCGGAGATTAATTAGAGATAACTATGAAATAATTAATCATAAAATGGCGCTAATGATATCATGCTTAAGTGCAAGAAAGGGTATTTTATTAGCAACATAATGGGATAGACGGCAATGTTCTTTCCTCTGTATGCATTTCATTTGTTTGAAGGGAGGAGGAGAAGCAATGGTAGATTCATTGACAAAGAATTTATTTTTAATGTAGTTGTTGCACTTTCATCATTATTCTTGAGAAACATGAGACAACTTCCACAAAAGCCTTGTTTGATTGCTTGTATCAGACGGCAATCTCATAATTTTTAATTCGTCAGTGGTGGATTGAATGATTAGGAAGTTCCTTACAAGACTTAACTCGACTTTGGTAGAATTAACTCCATCTTAATTAGCTGATTTAGGATTTAATTCAAGTCGGATAATGAATAATCAAACTTCTTACTTTTCTTTTAAGGGGAAAAAAAACAAAGTTATTTCAGAGTTTATTTTTTTTAAAAAAAAAAAAAAACCTCAGCTAATTCCAGGCAATCCCCTACTTCACCTACCTTAAACGAAATACACTCCTGCCCTACTCTAAACTACATAGACTCTCTCGTTAAAGAGCTAGCTGTTTTTGCGTTGAAACATGCTTTTAAAAATTTTAATTTTTTAATTTATTTTAAAATCATTTTAATATATATATATATATATATATATATATATATATTATTTTGATACATTTCAAAAAAAAAAAAAATTCCTAGCTCACCTACCACAACACATGACCTAAATCTCATACCTATGTTATCTACAAATATTGAATAAAGAATTGGATTCCAACACATCAAAAGGATTACACGATGGCTTAACCTCAATATGAATAGTCCATTTCTAATAAAATAAAAAAGAGAGTTTATAAATTAATCCATGTATATAAACTAATCCGAAAAAAACACCTTGTTCGATGAGGAGTGTCAGCAACACTGTCCATCCGGAGTGTCAGCAACACTGTCCATCCAAGCCAATACAAATAATTTGCCTTGGATGGCAGTAAAATGGAGTACAAGTTTGAAACTCTTCGCTTCCAAATAATTCAAAAAAGTGGTATCTGACTAGCTTATTTCAAGATATCAACAACAGTTTTGACTAAATCCATGGGAATAGAATGCCTCTGATTACTCACCAATTAGGGTATGTTTGTGGGGAACCACAACAAGTCAAAGAAGTAACAAAAATTAGATGGCTAGTGGTCCATACAGAACTGCTGCTTTTCGTATAGGAAAACCCCAAAAATGCTGTAATCCATGAAATAGGGTGCAGCTCTGGAAAATGAAGATCTGCAATATAAAAATTGAAAACATTGACAGGGACTCGCATGATTGTTAAGGGTTAACAATATGTAAAAACAGCGAGTTACATGGTAAGGTACCTTGAGCAATAGTTCTCTCTCTGTAGTACTGTGCCCACGTCTTTTAACTTTCAAGAGGATTACAAGCTAGATCTGATACTCACTAACAGCCGCTACAAATATTTCAGAGACCATATTTGTACAAAAAATGACCTTTGGGGGGACAAAAAAGAGCAGCAATCAATCAAATTACAAATCGTATATCATATGCGTTTATGATACAAAACATATCAATTTCAGCTAGTATCACACCATCATGAAGCTTCAACTGTTCGGGCACTACTTTTTCCAAGACCAAGACCACCCAAACCCAAGGGTGCGCTATCTGTTCTTGGCTTCCCTTGGTGATTATGGCTACAACGGGAAGAATGGACATGACCCTGATGGATTTTATTTTCTGAATTCACATTGATAGCCACATGGCCATTGCCATTCATGTGATGAGAATGAGCATCCCCATTTTGCAAGTTTGAATTCCTCGACATGTGCATCATTCCAATCCCCTCAGAATGTGGAGAATCTTCATTATAATCCACATCTTCATTGTAACCATTGATCAAGAAATCTGAGCAATTCTTTTTACAGCCATGATCATATGGGTTTCTGAAGCGCCCCCCTGGACCCCTAAGGTAGCTATACCGCAGTGCATTTGCCATTTCATTGGTTGTTATATTGCGAGATATCTATGACAGGAGAAAAAATGATTCAGAACTATTCATCTAAACTGTTAAAAGTGACAGCCCGAAACACTAGAGTTAAATGGCAAAGCACAGCTTGTCAACACATAAAACATTCACAAGTAAAGTTGGATTACAAATACACCATGTAATATCCTCTTGCTGTGTAAATCTTAGTTAACGCATGCTTATCCTATCTAAGACCATCACTTGGTATAGAATAGCAAATTAAGTGAACTCCAAAGAAAAGACTTTTTCTTCAGACAAGCACACAGCAATAGCAAGAAACTGCACTTACCACTCCATGAAGTCTAAAGATAGGCAACTATAAAATGCATCACAAAAGCAACTCAAGTTCATGAACTCAACTGTTCTGTAACAGCTGCTACATAACAGATCACCTAACACCAACAGACTCTGATATTCAGCACTAGCAGATGTTTACAGGACTCACCTGAGAAGCTTGTACAACAGTTAATACTGCCACGCCAAAGAAGAGGAAGAAGTCCATAATCAGAAATGATATAGCACCAATATGATGAGAGCCAGCATGGTTTACCCATGCTCCCAGTGAAGATGGAGCAAATGGATCGGTCAGAACTCCTACATACAGCAATTATTCTCAATCAGAAAACCCCCACCAAACAAAAAAAGAGCTAGAAATATGTTTAGAAATAGCTTGAATCTGAAAGGCTAATCATTCACATACTTGTGAGAGTCACTGCACCAGTTATCAACATTGCTGAAACTTCTAGAACAAGAAATGCAAAGAATTCCCATTTGTTTTTCTGCATCAGAAGCACATCACATTATTTTACACAGGTAAATACATTGAAAAATAATAGTGATGTTGATCATCAGTGCAAGGTAAACCATGAAAATGTAAATGGCATGGTCCCACTAAGGAAATCTCAAGTCATATATATATAAGCTAAATGTGAGTATTAAGCCAATATATTTAAGTCTGTCACTCGGACATGCATTCCAAACAGTCACATGGACTATAAAATGTCGAAGGTCAATTTATATGGCTGAATGTTATCAAACAAATTGCCAGGGCAATAAACTGAATTCTATTTCGAATGCAAGATGTTAAATATTTTCCTTGCTAGTAAAATATGAAGTAGAAATATGAGTTGAAGGAAAAGACATCAAACTGTCTCTACGCACCTTGCCAATGCAGTTAGATACCCAAGGGCAATGATGATCAAATTGTTCAACACATCGATCACATGTGGAACAGTGCTTTGCACGGAGAGGTCTGACAATCTAATTATTATATGAAATTGGATTGATATTAAACAAGCATTAATCAGAACAAGGTAGACGAAACACTCATCAACCAAGATACATATAGGCTGACAAAAATCAGTACCTTGCATGTTGCACAGAGCTGAGACCAATTCCCAGCTAGCAAAGCAGGGTTGTTTATCTCAATCTTCAAAAGTGGCTCCTAGAATAAAGGGACAGTATAGATACAAAAGTAATAAGAGAATATACAGGGCCTGTGCCAAAAAGAAAGAAAATAGAAAACTTGTATGCCTTCAATGAAAGAACTGACTAGAAACCTATCTTTCTACATTCCAAAGAGCCATGAATAGTAATAATATAAACATGCTTAACGTATAAGGGTTTAAATGTACATCATCTTTCATATTCTGCGGATCATGCACATTCATTCTAATGTAACCTGGATCCTTCCTGCAAA